ATGCAAAAATTAGCCAGGCATGGTGGCAAGCATCTGTAATCCCACCCAGCTACTCGGGAGGCTGAGGCAGGAGAATCGCTTGAACTCAGGAGGCAGAAGTTGCAGTGAGTCAAGATCTCGCCATTGCACTCCAGCCTGGGTGACGGAGCAAGACTCTGATTCAAAAAAAAAGAAGTGGTTCATGTTATGTGGGGAGAAAAAAAGCAGCAGCCCTGAGTCAGGTTCCATCTTCTAATTCTGCTCTGTAAAAACGCTGAGGGCTGAAGTCAGCAACCTAGAGAAGCCTTACTTCACAGCACGGGCTAAATTATGGAGAATGTTTTCAAGTCTGCACTGAAATAATAGCAGGACGCTGAGAGTGAACGTAATAGGGGAGGTGAGGAACACTCGGAGAGAAGGCAGGAATAAACACCAGACGCTACTGTGCTTGAGGCTGTTTCCTACCAAATCCTTCCATTTACTTTCAGGAGCCGACCCAGGCCTTGGCAACAGGGCAGAAACTTTGACCAGATCCCTACTAGTATATTTTATTTACACAGAATTCTCTTTTCATTTAAAGTATCAAAAATCAGATTCTTTTTTTTGAGACAGAGTTTTACTCTGTTGTCCAGGCTGGAGTGCAATGGCACGATCTCGGCTCACTGCAACCTCGGCCTCCCTGGTTCAAGTGACTCTCCTGCCTCAGCCTCCCAAGTACATGGGATTACAGGCTCACACCACCATGCCTGGCTCAGCTAATTTTTGTATTTTTAGTAGAGATGTGGTTTCCCCATGTTGGCCAGGCTGGTCTCAAACTCCTGACCTCAGGTGATTCAACCACCTGGGCCTCCCAAAGTGCTGGAATTATAGGCATGAGCCATGGTGCCCGGCCCTAACAATCAGCTTCTTATCAGCACCAGGTACAAAATTTTAACTGTAGGATACTTATTTAATGATAAAAAATATATAAAATAGTACTTATTTTCAGCTTTCCATTCTTAGGGAGGAAAATCAAGTAAAAACTGTATTTTGGGGAGCTAAATGATGGGAACTTATGAATACAAAGAAGGGAACAATAGATACTGGTGTCTAGTTGAGGGTGGGGGCTGGGAGGAGGGGGAGGAACAACAAAGATGACTACTGGGTACTGGGCTTAATACCTGGGTGATGAAATCTGTACCAAAAAGCCCCGTGACACAAGCTTACCTATGTAAGAAATCTTCACATTTTTGCCCAGGAAGGTGGCTCACACCTGTAATCTCAGCACTTCGGGAGGCTGAGATGGGAGGATCATTTGAGCCCAGGAGTTCAAGAGCAACTTAGGCAACACAGTGAAATCCCACCTCCATTTTAAAAATTAACTATATGTATGTACATATAGATATACACACACACACACACACACATACACACACACACTCAAAAGGAACATATGAAGTACTGTAATATGGATTATATTACTTAAGGCCAGGTGAAATGGCTCACGCCTGTAATCCCAGCACTTTGGGAGGCCAAGGTGGGTGGATCATCTGAGGTCAGGAGTTTGAGACCGGCCTGACCAACATGGGGAAACCCCATCTCTACTAAAAATACAAAAATTAGCCAGGCATGATGGCGGGTGCCTGTAATCCCAGTTACTCAGGAGGCTGAGGCAGGAGAATCATTTGAACCCAGGAGGGAGAGTTTGCAGTTAGCTGAGATCATGCCATTGCACTCCAGCCTTGGCGACAGGGCAAGACTCCATCTCTAAATAAAAAAAGATTATTTTACTTAAAAAAATTTTTTTGAGATAGCATTTTGCTTTGTTGCTCAGGCTGGGGTGTAGTGATATGAACATAACTCACTGTAACCTCAACCTCCTGGGCTCAAGTGATCCTCCTGCCTCAGCCTCCAGGGTAACTGGGATTACAGTTACTCAGCTAATTTTTAAAAAATTTATTGCAGAGATGACATCTCCTTATTTTGCCCAAAGTTGGTCTCAAATTCCTGGGCTCAGGCAATCCTCCCTCCTCAGCCTCCCAAAGTGCTGGAAAATGTTGGCTTTTTAGACAATAAGATTATTATTTGAATCATCTTGGAAAATGTTATATGTTCTTTTATAAATGGACATTGCCCCAATACATTACAGCTAAATACCAAGCTAGTTGGGGTTCCTTGGTTGCAAGCAACAGATTCCAATTCTGACTGACTTAAGCCAAAGAGGGATTTAATGGAAAATTAGTATGTGTGTGATTGTGGGGTAGGGTTGGGGGGTCTAGAATTGAAGAAACAATGGAAGAAGTAGGGACCAAGGCACCTTCCAGGATCCGTGGAGTACAGCTGAGAAAGGTCACAATGAAGCCTTGACACTGGCTGGAATCAGCACTGACAGTGCTTTCTGCTCTTGGGTCATTCTGCTGAGGATTCAAAGCAGTTAGACAGTGCATCTTGTCTGCTTGGGGCAAAGAAGAAAACAGGGCAGTGCAATGGACAGCCCACGGAAGCACACACACTGGGAGATGGCAATGCAGCAGAGGCTATTACTGGAATAAGTGGAAACGGATGTCAGGTAGTTCCTCCTTGCCCTATTCTTTTTTTTTTTTTTTTTTTTTTTTTGAGGAGACAGAATCTTGCTCTATCCCCCAGGCTGGATGGAGTGCAGTGGTGTGATCTCGGTTCACTGCAACCTCCGCCTTTGCCTCCCGGGTTCAAGCAATTCTCCTGCCTCAGCCTCCCAAGTAGCTGGGATTATAGGCGCCTGCCACCATGCCTGGCTAATTTTTGTATTTTTAGTAGAGCCAGGGTTTCCCCACGTTGGCCAGGCTGGTCTTGAACTCCTGACCTCAGGTGATCTGCCTGCCTCGGTTTCCCAAAGTGCTGGGATTACAAGCGTGAACCACTGCGCCCAGCTCTTTGCCCTATTCTCTTATGCCACCATGCGTCCCCTTGCCTGTTCCTTGACTTGGAATGCCCCCTAACCCAGATCACCTGTCTTCACCAATTTCGCCCTCAAAAGCCAGATAAAGTAACGGGCTTCTGTGAAGCCAGGCAGAGAAAACTCACTTTTCACTGTCTTTGTACCTTGCATACACATCCCTTGTTGAACTGATCACACTGTATTATAATTATTTGTATCTACATGAATCTCTCCTGTAAGACTGTAAGTTTTTTGAGGGGAGGAATGTCTTCTCCTCTCTGCTGTTGTGTGGCTAAGACAGTCAGTCTCCATCACAAAGTTGGTACTCAACAAATGATTGCTATGTTAAAAAAAGTTTTTAGAAAGCACATGGAAAATTCTATATAGACATAAAATAATTGACTGTTACCTTTGCAAATCTGTGTGATGTTTGAGAAAGCCTGGCAATATCTTCCAGATCCAGATAAGAAATGATATTCAGGAGCAAATCGTCTGAGAGCCGTTCAAGGAAGTCAAATTTGCCTTTGCACAAATTGATGACATAGTCTAATATTCTTACACCAAATGTCATGGCAGTTTGACCTGTAATTCAAAGAAGCCAACAAACCAAGATGGTTATCATGTACAGTCACATCAAAACTATAACAACTATCAGTGAGATACAAGCTTCAGGGCATTTTTTCCCTGGGAGTGATGTTAGATGATGCTGAGTCATTCTTACTTTCACCAAGCTGCCTTTGGGACTAATAGAATGCAGTTTTGAGGCATCTGTTTCCAATTGCCATCTCTGCCCTGAGAGAATCTTTTAGGGACACTCACTGTTTAACACAGTGATTTCTGCATCCCCTTGATCTCATCAGCCCCAAACTCCAGCCTATACTGCTAATTTAATTGGTCTCAGTGTTACCACTGTACTCACAGCCTCTCCAAGCGGGCAGCTATGTGGAGGGAAAAAAATGCTGGTCCACGTGGCTTTTCTGCCAGCCCCTCTACTCCCCATTGGTCTAAAACACATGGTCTCCTAATTTTAGTTGACTTTTGCTCTCGTATTTAATTTTTTTTTGAGAGGGGTTGCCCAGGCTGGAGCACCGTGGTGCAATCTCAGCTCATTGCAATCCTCCCATTTCAAGCAATCCTCCCATTTCAGCTTCCTGAGTAGCTGGGACTACCAGTGGGTGCCACCAGGCCTGCC